GGCGCCCCTGAAGTTAGTTTTTAAGGCATAGGTGGTAGCTCAAATATTTTTAAATGAATCATTTTTTTCTTCAGTGCTGGCTAACTTTCTGCCTCTTATTATTTATTGATTATTTATTTATTTTTAAAAATTTTTAAAAGATTTTATTTGAGAAGGAGAGGGCATGCATGAGCAGGAGGGAGGGCTAGTCGGAAAGAGAGAAGCAGACTCCCCGCTGGGCAGGGAGCCTGATGTGGGGCTCATTCCCAGGACCCTGGGATCATGACCTGAGCTGAAAGTAGACTCTTAACCAACTGAGCCACCCAGGCCCCCTGAACCTCTCACTATCTTTTATAAATAAAGCAAATCTGTCATTTCAAGGAATACAGCTGATAGCATTTGTTGCCTATAATGAAATTCTAACTTTCAGATAAAAATTAGAATTTTGGAAAAGTTGTATTTGTCACCATGAACTTGACAGCTTCCCATACTTAAAAGACCTTTCTGATGAGTTTCATGTTAATGAATGTCCTGATTCTAATATCATACAGTGAAGTGTGTCAACATTTTTGAAGATCTGAATAACTCAATTTATTCATATTTTCAAGGGACAGATGTATGAAGTTAAAAATCAGGTGTAGGTAAAACCATTCAAAATGCAAGATATACCAATGGAATTTAATTTAACAGAGTATTAAAGTTCATTGATGTAGTTTCAGTTTCCTTCCTTGTAATAAACAGTTAAGACACTATCCCTTGTCAAGTGTTGTTGTATTATCAAGAGTGATATACATGAATTTCTAACTACATATCTAGTGAGGCCTAATTTTCTTTATAAAATCAACCAGAGAGCATATCATGGCAGATGGAATGCACAAAGAGATTTGAGAACCCAGCTGTCTTCCATTGTCAGTCATTAAGGAGGTGTGGAAATGGAAAACAATATTTTTCTCTAAAATTTTTTTGTTTGAAAAAGTTATTTCTCATAAAACTGATATTTGTTAGCATATACTGGGCTCATTTATGAATAAGTTTTTTTTTTTTTTTTGAGATTGATTTATTAGGGAGCGAGAGAGAGAGCTCAGGGAGGGAGAAGGGGCAGTAGGAGAAGAGAATCCCAAGCAGACCCCACGTTGAGCACGGAGCCCCACATGGGGTCACGACCCTGGCATAACAACCTGAGCCAAAATTAAGAGTCCATTGCTTAACTGACTGTGCCACCCAGGTACCCCATGAATAAGTTTTTTTTTTCCTTTTAAAGATTTTATTTATTTGACAGACAGAGATCACAAGTAGACAGAGAGGCAGGCAGAGAGAGAGGAGGAAGCAGGCTCCCTGCTGAGCAGAGAGCCCAATTCGGGGCTTGATCCCAGGACCCTGAGATCATGACCCGAGTCGAAGGCAGAGGCTTTAACCCCCTGAGCCACCCAGGTGCCCCTCCCCCCACCATGAATAAGTTTAAAAGTGTTTTAGGTGTCTCAGTTCTAATGTCCAATCCAAAATATTGATAAATATAAACCACATAAGCTTATCCAGGTCCTCAAGGATTTAAGAGAGCAAAAAGGTCCTTATGCCAAACCTTGGAATACCCCTTTAGGGCCGAACTGTATTCCAAATGGAGATGAAGAAAGAGTGCCTGATCATCATGGCTCACTCTGTCAGTAATCATGAGTACTTGATTTGAATATTAAATGTCTTATTTAGAGATTGTATTTATTTATTTATTTGTCAGTACAAGCCGCAAGAGAGGGAGAAGCAGGCTCCCCACTGAGTAGAAAGCCTGTCATGGGGACCCTGGGATCGTGACCTGAGCTGAAGACAGACACTTAACTGGCTGAGCCACCCAGGTGCCCCGTTGTTTGGATATTTTTTTTTTTAAAGATTTTATTTATTTATCTGACAGAGAGATCACAAGTAGGCAGAGAGGCAGGTGGGTGGGGTGGGGGGGTGGGGGGGGAAGCAGACCCCCCGCAGAGCAGAGAGTCCGATTCGGGCCTCAATCCCAGGACCCCGGGATCATGACCTGAGTCAAAGGCAGAGGCTTAACGCACTGAGCCATCCAGGCACCCTGTTTGGAGATTTTAAAAGAGGAAGCAGAGTACAGTTGGGGTTCATTCCTGTGGTTTGGGGAGACCTTAAGGACTTTAAGTGCAGCATTATCTTGGCACTTGTTCCAGGTAATTCTTGTTCAGTGGGTGGAGAAGTGCAAGCAAGGGGAATGGAAAAATCATCAGCACCAAGTTAATGGCTGGTGGAAAAGCTAAGCACTTTCATATCGCGATAATCTTGTCACTGGATAATCTTTCTTGGGACATTTTTTTGGGGGGTGAGATGAACAAAGTGGAAGGTTTACTATCTGATCCTAAGATACAACTTAACAAAAAAGTATAACTGAAGAGGAGTTGAATGAATGTCCTTGGAACCTGACTTAAAAGGAGCCCTGACGTGCAGGACTGACAGGGCAATTAATTAGCTAGTTGTGCTCCCTGGGTAAGGAATTAAAACTCAAGTCACATGGCCAATAAGGAAATACTGAGGCTCTAGGAAGAAAGGAAATTAGGGTTTAAGCTCATCCTGGACTGCTCCCTTAGCATATTATATGGTGGCAAACAAAATAATTTAACCTGTGTTAAGTGTCTTAATGGCTGGAATGAAAGGGAAAGACTTTTCTAGTTAGGAGACTTGGTGGGGGGCTCCTGGGTGGCTTCGTTGGTTAAGTGTCTGGCTCTTCTTTTTGGTCCAGTTCATGATCTCACAGTCATAAGATGGACTTTGCACTGGTCATGGAGCCTGCTTAAGATTCTCTCCCTCTGCCTTTCCCCTGCTTGGCGTGTATGTGCGCTCTTTCTCTCTAACAACAACAACAACAACAAACAGAAAGGAGACTTGGAGATATCTGGTTGTTTTCTAAAAAATTTCAAAGACCAGTTGCAAGGAGATGGTTAATTGGAATAATAAACACGGTTGAGGGGCACCTGGGTGGCTCAGTTGGTTAAGCTTCTGCCTTCCGCTCAGGTCGTGATCCCAGGGTCCTGGGATTGAGTCCCAGATTGGGCTCACCCTCTGCCTTTTCTCCACCCCGCCCCCGTCATGCTCTCTTTCGCTCTCTTTCTGAAATAAATAAATATATTCTTTAAAAAAATGGTTGAAATGGAAACTATTAATTGAAAGAGAAAACCTTCAGACCAATGGACATAATACTTCAAGAGATAGAATTTAAAATTTATACTCATTGTCCTCTTCCCTAAGGGAAATCGATGAAAAGGAGGTACATTATCTAGAGACCTCACTGAGAGCTGTCATTCTAGCATGTCACACCTCTTCCTCATTTCAGGAGTTTTAAGATTGGAAATGAATTATCTCTTGGGACAAGTAGAACCATGTTGCACTGAGGTATATAGACAGAAAATGGGTTTAAGTGAGTCTGTCAGTCTTAGAATGGCATTAATGCCTGAATTCTGTAAAACAGTAATAGTTGCCAATATGTGTTTAGTGTGAAAACAACTTTGCGTTGGACTTAGGTGGTTGCATTGTAATCTTTTTGATAAATAGTATCCATTATTTATAAAGACAGATAATATCATTCAATGTCAGATTAACATCATTCAATGCTGTAATAAAATAATGTATAAATCACTTAAGATGAAGATAAAATGGTCTCCAGTGCCACCATCCACAGGTAGGAAAGTCTAGATAATGATGCAGACCACAGCCTGACCTCTGAACTGTTCTGTTTGCCTTGCACAGTATTTTAAAGATGGGAAATTTTTACATAGAAATCTGGTTTCCCAGCTCCTCTTAGAGAAAAAAAATCATATCACTTCTGAGATGTGGGCCTGTATTCTAATATGATAGTAATCAGCCGGATCTGACCCATGACACCCCCCCCCCATTCTGTATACCCTCCACTTGGCCAGCCTCTACCATTCCTTACTGCTTTCATATAGCCCATATTACTCGATTTCCCTGTTTAGCTGTACTGATGGTTGAGTTAAGAGACCCCTGACCTGGCCAGCTGTTTCATGCAGAATATCTCAGGAGATATCTCTTGCTCGTGCAAGCTACCTAAAGTCCAGTACTGTGTATTTATAAGGGTTATTAAGACAGTGAATGTGAGGAGATGGATGTTAACCAAACTTACTGTGGTAATCATCTCAGTACACACATGTATCAAATCATTATGTTGTATACCTTAAACTAATACAGTGTTGTATGTCAAGTATATGTCATTAAAATTGAAAAAAATTTTGGCTTTTTTTTTTTTTTTTGGATCCAACAAAAGTTCTATTTAAGTATCTCAATTTTTATTTCTAGGTGCAATGAGCCATTACCAATGTGTCCTTGAGTATTTTGTTCTTTCCTAGTAACTTACACAAAGAAATAGTCAAGTGCCCAATCCATCCTCATGATTTTTACAGACATTTAAAAGCTTAAAGATACTAAAATGTACTCCGTCAGTTCCATTTCTTTGGGGTTTCGTATATAACAAGTGTTGTACTTCTAAGTTAAAGTAGGCAGACAGCTATCACATTGTTCCAGATGTTTTTTTAGCATTTTCTGGCTACAACAACAATATGCTGGTCTCAGAAAATGCCAACCGATGAACTTGCATTCTTAGATATGTTACGGCTTTATTGAGTGTTAACACGGGCTCTTGACCTAAAGAATAATCAGTAGCAGAGATCGTAGCTTTCTGGTACTTAGTTGGAAGAATCTCAGTAATTTTTACAAAGTTGGATAATTGTATTGTTTTCCATTACATTAATATTTTGTTTATAAACAGAGCCCCAAAGAAGTAATTTCTTTCAGTATTTTCAGCCTCTTATACAAAAGTTTTTATTCAGCTGCTAAAATTGCTTGTTACATTTCATACATTGCAGATTAGTGTTTTTGTGTTTCAAACTTCCATTGTTACTCTGTATATCGAGTTACATCTGTTTACTTGACCTTTGATTAAGTTAGATGGCTTTTTTTCAACAATTATGTGTAATGACATATTTTTCTTCTTTTTTTAAAAATAGATTTGGACTGAGCAACAAATTTGAATCAGAATTCCCTTCTTCATTAACTGGAAAAGTGAGTGTCTATCATTTACTTAGGTACTATTTATATACTTCAAAAGTAAAGTCTTTTCCTAACAAATTATAAAAACAATTATGTTAATGACATGCTTATTGACATTAATATTGCAGTGTTGTTATTTCTCAAAATTTTTCTTTAGGTAGCTCCCGAAGAATTTAAAGCCAGCATCAACAGAGTTAACAGTTGTCTTAAGAAGAACCTTCCTGTTAATGTACGTTGGCTACTTTGTGGCTGCCTTTGTTGCTGCTGCACATTAGGTTGCAGTATGTGGCCAGTTATTTGCCTCAGTAAAAGAGTAAGTTGAATTAATATATTTTAATTTAAATTTAGAAGTCGACAAGCAAGTCTTGCATTCATCTAGTTTTAATTTTTTTGTATTGAACAAGTCATACCATGCTAAATACTATAAAAAATGGTGTGATCCAGTAGAGGAGCGATAAAGTAAATTATGGTATGTCCACATGCTGTTATATTAAATTTAATTATAAATTTCATTCATAATTTTTATGACTTAGGGAGTTATGTAAGAGTAGAAGAGAATACAACATTCTCTCTCTCTGTATACATTCATGGTGGTATAGCATAGTGTTTAAGAATGCTGGGTTCAGATCTACCAGTTATCTCTGTGACTCTAAGCAGGTTTCCTAACCTCTTTAATCTCTAGTTAATTATCTGTAAAATGCAGTATTCACCCACCTGCTGGAATAGGATTGTTGTAAGTATAAAATGAAATAGTGTATGAGCAAAATAGCTCAAAGTATCTAATAGATATTGACTAATAGCATTATTACTAATATTTGTGGTAGTACCCATAGAAGAAATAACATGGTTATAGTGTTTATTTCTAGTTGGTAAAATTATGGAGAATTCTGGTTTCTTTTTAAGAGATTTTTTCTTTTGTATTTACAAATTTTCTGAGATGAGTACATAATGATTCTGTAATCAGAAAAAAATGATCTAAAGAGTCATAATTTTGAGTGCTTATAATGAAAAATTTCTAAGATATGGGTAAAGATATGGCAAATTGTTATAGATGGAACACATTACATTTTTAAAGTTTTAAAAAATTGTGGTAACGGTATATATAAAAATGAAATACTATTGAAAATGAATGATTTGTGTGGCTCCATTTCATTTTATCATCAAATAATGATAGGAAATATGGAAAAGCAAATTCTGTTTGTCTCTTGATTTCTATAAGTAGTATATTCCTACTGAAAAAATTTCACTAATACATTTTATAGATAAGAAGGAGATAATGCCTTTGTAGTAGGATTAATTTTGTAATATTTACTGTAATGTTTATATTTATTTTTTCTCCAAAAATATTTCTTCTTTTTTTCTCCATATTTCTGACCACATCATGTTCAGACCACAATTTTTTTTTTTTTTTTTTTTTAATTTTTCAGTTGTCCCTTGAAATTTGCCGCTCTTGGAGTTTAGATCCTCTCGCTTCCTCCTACTGTTAGGGCATTTTCATCGTTTAAATGACTGCTGTCTTAGGGTGCCTAGACTGGAGAAATATACTTGGTTATATACCTGACAACAGATTTATATTCAGAACGTGAAAAGGACTCTCAAAACTCAACAGTAAGAAATAACTATTTTAAATGGGCAAAATAGGGGCACAATGGTGGCTCAGTTGGTTAAACATCTGCCTTCGGCTCAGGTCATGGTCTTGGGGTCCTGGGATCAAGACCTGAGTTGCGCTCCCTGCTCAGCGGGGAGCCTGCTTCTCCCTCTCCTTGTGCCTCTCACCTCTACTTGTGCTCTCTCTCTCTTTCAAGAAAATAGATAAAATCTTAAAAAAAAAAAAAAAGTGACTTCTGTATCTCACTTGGTTATTACCTAACCCGAGGAATCATAAGAATCTTATTTTAGAAATCTGTGTGATCTAGTTTTTTTGAGGTTTTGAGATCCTTTTTTTTTGTTTGTTTGAAGATTTATGTATTTGTTTATTTAGAGAGCTAGCAGGGGGAAGGGTAGAGAGAGAGAGAATCTCAAGCAAACTCCCTGCTAAGGGCAAAGCCCAGCGTGGGGCTCTATTCCACAACCGTGAAATCACCACCTGGGCTGAAATCAAGAGTCTGATGCTTAACCGACTGAGCCAGCCAGATGCTCCTGTTTTTTACTTTCTAAATGAGAAAACAAGATATTGCAGTATGTGCACAACATAGGATTTAGAAAACAAAACTTAACTCTCTATTCCTCTGTGTGCATTTTTAGCAACATAAGATCATTTTTCAGATGATTTCATTAAATTCCTTTTTATTTGAATTGTAGGTTAGATTGATTTTTTTAGGCTATTCTCTATAGTTTCGGAAAGCACATTTCATTTAACAGTGTAGTATTCAGTCTGTGGTCTCTCTTTGTATGTATATAATTAAAATTTATGTGGACTTTACTATCTAGTGAATGCAAGCAAATATGATTATTAAATAAAAAGCTGTGCATTTCCGTGTCTTGGGTGTAAACTATTATATACCCATGGAGAGAGTGACATTTCATGCATGTATGAAGGTGTTAGGTACCCTGAAAAAAGTGGTGCTGTGTACAGTGGGAGCAGGATAATTTAGAGCAGGAATTTTTAACTTTTTATTTGTCATGGATCCTTTTGGTGTTCGAGGGATGCCTATGAACCCTCTCTTAAGTAATGTTTTATTTGTATTTTAAAAGGTTTAATGTATTTTTTCTTTTTAAAGATTTAATTTATTTATTTGGCAGAGAGATCACAAGTAGGCAGATGCAAGCAGAGAGAGAGGGGGATGCAGGCTCACCACTGAGCTGAGAGGAGAGCCCGATGCAGGGCTCGATCCCAGGACCCTGAGACCATGACCTGAGCCACAGGCAGAGGCTTAACCCGCTGAGCCATCCAGGTGTCCCAAAATGTTTAATGTATTTTAATGTGTTAAATGAAATCCACAAGATTACAAAGGAAGCCAGTTATATGAAATAAAGTTAATCAAAGTACTAAAACCCCTCACTTAAGGGCGCCTGGGTGGCTCAGTCGGTTAAGTATCTGCCTTCAGCTTGGGTCATGATCTTAGGGTCCTGGGATTGAGCCCTACCTGTGGCTCCCTGCTTAGCAAGGAGTTTGCTTCTCCTTTCCCTCTGTGTTCTCTCTCCCTTTCTTGCTTTCTCTCAAATAAAATCTTAAAAATAAGACCCCTCAAATTTATTATTTATAAATATTTATTAATGCATACAAAATAAGATAGCAGAGAATCTATGGTAATATGATGTGATAGGAAAAATCTGATTTCTATGAGTGATAGAGATAGAGGTCCAGTTTATTCTACCACAGTTAGCTGCATACATTCATAACCTAAGGAAACTGTACCACATTCCAGTTAGAGGTTAGTGAAAATGAAGATGAATTTTTGTTTTATCCACTTTCATAGATTCCTAGAATTTTATCTAGGTATTGCATGTTAAGAGTAGGAACCCTTGACAGAGGTACTAGTATAAATAAAGGCTAAAACCCTGCCTGATCATTAGCCTCTGAACTGTTGCTTTGTCCTCATTTGTGATGTGGAGTATGGTTAGAATTGTCTCAGATTCTTAAGACAAATCAGGACCGAAGGCATACTTTATATGCAGATCAGCATTTTCACCTTCATGACATTATTCAGGAATTTGGGTAACTAGATTTCTGCCTTAATTTTGAAATCCATCCAACTGAGTGTCCCTTTTTATGAACTGACCCTGCTGTGGAGACATTGTTTTTAAATCTGTATTATTATTATTGTTCCTTCCAAATTACCTTTCCTTTTTAAAAAAATTGCCATAACCTATTTTTGAAAATTATTTACCATAAAGCAAAATCTACTCTTTTTGGTATATAATTTTATGCTTTTTGACAAATGCATATAGTTGTGTAAAACCACAACCAAGATGTATTACTATTCTCTCCAAAAAACTTCCTTGTACTGTCTCTTTGTAGTCATACCTTTTTCAGCTCTTAAACCCTGACAACCACTGATCTATTTGCTTTCCCTACAGTTTTGCCTTTTCCAGTTTGTTATATAGATGGAATTATACAGTATATGTGGCCTTTTGAGTCTAGCTTTTTTTAAAATCTAGCTAGTGCTTTTGAGATTCATCTATTTTGTTGCATGTATCAATAGTTTATTCTTTTTTTTTTTTTTTTTGTCTGAGTAGTATTCCATTGTATGGATGTTATAACTTGTTTATCCTCTCACCAACTGAAGGACATTGGGTGGTTCCCAGTTTTGGTGATTTTGAATAAAGATGGTATAAATGGGGCTATAATAATAATAATCTTTGAATAAAGATGCTATAAAGGGGGCACTTGTGTGGCTTAGTTGTTAGGGATCTGCTTTTGGCTCGGGTTGTGGTCCCAGGGTCCTGGGACCAAGCCCCGCTTCGGGCTCCCTGCTCAGCTGGGGGGCCTGCGTTTCCCTCTCCCTCTGCCTGTTGCTCCCCCTACTTGTACTTGCTCTCTCTCTGTGTCAAATAAATACATAAATAAAATCTTAAAAAAAAAAAGGCACTATAAATGTTCACATGTATGTTTTTCTGTGAACATAATTTTTTTGCTTTTTAGGAGTCAGGTTGTTGGATCCTATAGTAACTGTATGGTTAATTTTCTAAGAAATTACCAAATTATTTTCCCAAGTGGCTTTCCCATTTTACATTCCAGCCAGCAGTGTATGAGAGTGCCAGTTGTTCAGCATCTTTGCCAGGACTTCGTATTGTTAGTTTAAGAAATTTTAGTCTTATTGATAGATTTGGTGGCATCTCATTCTGGTTTTAATTTACATTACCCTCATGACTAATGGTATTGAGCACTTTGCCATTTGTAAAACCTCTTTGTTAAAGTGTTTATTCAAATATTTTCCCATTTTTTTTTTTAAGATTTTATTTATTTGACAGAGAGAGAGAGAGAGAGAGAGCACAAGCAGGGGAGTGGCAAGCAGAGGGAGAGGGAGAAGCAGGCTCTCTGCCAAGCAGAGCCTGAGGCGGGGCTCGATCCCAGCACCCCAAGAACATGATCTGGGCCGAAGGCAGATGCCCAACCGACTGAGCCACCCAGGCGCCCCTATTTTGCCCATTTAAAATAGTTATTTCTTACTGTTGAGTTTTGAGAGTCCTTTTCATGTTCTGAATATAAATCTGTTGTCACGTATATAACCAAGGGTGTTTTTCCAGTCTGTAGCTTGTCTTCTTATTCTCGTAATGTCTTTGGCAGAGCACAGTTTGATTTTGATGAGGTGTGATTTATCAGTTTTTAAAAAATAGATTCTATGTTTGGTGTTATATCTAAGGATTCTT